CATAAACTGCGTATCAATCTGTCCAAGTGTCTGCAACATAAACTGTGTATCGATCTGTCCTCGTGCATATGTAACATAAACTGAGTATCAATCTGTCCAAGTGTCTGCAACATAAACTGTGTATCGATCTGTCCTCGTGCATATAACATAAACTGAGTATCAATCTGTCCTCGTGCATATGTAACATAAACTGCGTATCAATCTGTCAAAGTGTCTGCAACATAAACTTTGTATCGATCTGTCTTCGTGCATTTGTAACATAAACTGCGTATCAATCTGCCCAAGTGTCTGCAACATTAACTGTGTATCAATCCGTCCTCGCGCATATAACATGAACTGAGTATCAATCTGCCCAAGTGTCTGCAACATTAACTGTGTATCAATCTGTCCTCGCGCATATAACATAAACTGAGTATCAATCTGCCCAAGTGTCTGCAACATAAACTGTGTATCAATCTGCCCTAGTGTATGTTACATAAACTGTGTATCGATCTGTCCTCGTGCATATATAACATAAACTGAGTATCCATTAGCCCAAGTGTCTGCAACATAAACTATGTATTAATCTGTCCAAGTGTCTGCAACATAAACTGTGTATTAATCTGTCCTCGTGCATATATAACATAAACTGAGTATCAATCTGCCCAAGTGTCTGCAACATCAACTGAGTATCAATCTGTCCAAGTGTCTGCAACATAAACTGAGTATCAATCTGCCCAAGTGTCTGCAACATAAACTTTGTATCAATCTGCCCAAGTGTCTGCAACATAAACTGTGTATCGATCTGTCCTCGTGCATATGTAACATAAACTGAGTATCACTCTGCCCAAGTGTCTGCAACATAAACTGTGTATCGATCTGTTCTCGTGCATATGTAACATAAACTGAGTATCACTCTGCCCAAGTGTCTGCAACATAAACTATGTATCACTCTGCATAAGTGTCTGCAACATAAACTATGTATCAATCTGCCCAAGTGTCTGCAACATAAACTGTGTATCGATCTGTCCTCGTGCATATATAACATAAACTGAGTATCAATCTTCCCAAGTGTCTGCAACATAAACTGAGTATTAATCTCCCCAAGTGTCTTTTACATAAACTGTGTATTAATCTGCTCAAGTGTTTGCAACATAAACTGAGTATTAACCTGTCCAAGTGTCTGCAACATAAACTGTGTTTCAATCTGCCCAAGTGTCTGCAACATTAACTGTGTATCGATCTGTCCTCGTGCGTATAACATAAACTGATTATCAATCTGCATAAGTGTCTGCAACATAAACTGAGTATCAATCAGCCCAAGTGTCTGCAACATAAACTATGTATCAATCTGCCCGAGTGTCTGCAACATAAACTGTGCATCAATCTGTCCGAGTGTCTGCAACATAAGCTGTGTGTTTACAAGGTATAGTGTATATCGTTATACCCTGTGCCTATAATAAACTGTATCTCAGTCAGTCCCAGCTCCTTTAGGTGCACTGTTTACACTATGCCCTTGTGTCCAGAAGGTCAACTGTGTATTCATCTGCCCAAGTGTATAATATACATCAACTTGTATTCGTCTGCTATATTACGTCATATGATGTCTTTCCGGCTCTCAGTGAGATACCTACGCCGCACATTGTCCAAATACCAATAGTTTACATTGTATTACACTTACGTAATTGTAATATACCAGTTATAATGGCAATGACTTGGTATTGATATGTCGCCCGCCTCAGAGGCATGGTGGACAGAACGTCTGCCCGAAGGTCGGTAGTATGATCCCCGGCCGAGTCATACCAAAATACGGGGTCACGGATGGCCCAGTCGTCTAAGGCGCCGCAATTCGATGGGCAGAGTTGCGTCCCTTGGGCACGCCAGACCATGATTGTAGGGTCGAATCCCGGTTCGCCCAAATTATGTTTCTAGGTTTGTCAGCACCATACCCGTGCTCGTGGGTTTTACCGAAGTGGTAAACGTCTGAGACATGCATCACTTCGGGCTTTCCTCCCACAATAAGCTGACAAGCCGTGATATAACTGGAATACTGTTAAAAGCGGCGTTAAACCCAACTCACTCACTCATACCAAAATACGTTTAAAGATGGTTCTTTTTCTTTCCCTGCGTGGAGCTTCACATTTAAACCTGGCGAGCTCTAAAGTTAGCCTCCTGTATCTGAGTAGGGTTTCTATGGTAAAATTTCGTCATGGGCTAACACTTTTAAACTGGCATTAGGATGGGCTATTTTACGCAGCGATACGCACGCACGCACGAACGTACACGCGCGCGCGCACACACACACTGGTTTAACGTCGCGTTCAAAATTATTGCACTTCTACAGCCGCGCGGGTGCGTGCGTGACGAAAGCCGCTTTATAAGTGCAATAATCGTGAACGCAACATTAAGCCCCAGTTCACCTCACCTCACCACTGATCTGTCATATTTGGCAATGAACAATAATCATCCGAGCTGCAGCCGGGGGCAGAGATAACGAAATAATTCCGTTGTGTGATATATAACAGCACATGGCCTGAAAACTATATTCAGACTGTGCACTTCTATATTGAACCATATCTTAGACTGTTAATCAATCGTATACATTAAGTTAAGAGATAATCTATTAGGAAATAACAGTGCCTGTCGGTTTATGTTTCAAATAATCACTTTCGCCCAGTCGAATTATTCAAAGCGTGTGCACCTAATACGATCAAACATCACGCAAAAATCGTGCCTTGTTTACAAACTCTTTTTTCATTGCCATCCTGCGCCGGAAACAGCCAACGCAGATATCGCACGACAACTGTCGTTTGGGGCGGGACCTCTGACCTTGCCATAACAGAAATATGTTTTTGTAAACATGTAAGTCGAGTAATTAAGTGCAGTATTGCTGTTTTTAATTAGAAGGTCCTGCTTAAAAAAAAAAAGTATTTGAGGATATTACTTGCCGCTTGTGGTGACTAATCGTCACTTCATATGTCCCGATATTTTTGGTAAATCTGATTGTTTGTTTGTTTGTTGTTTAACGCCGCACTCAGCAATATTCCAGCTATATGACGGCGGTCTGTAAAATAATCGAGTCTGGACCAGACAATCCGGTGATTGACATCATGGGCATCGACCCAGGCAATTGGGATCGATGGCATGTATCAACCAAGTCAGCGAGCCTGACCACCCGATCCCGTTAGTCGCCTTTTACGACAAGCATAGTTGCCTTTTACGGCAAGTATGGGTTGCTGAAGACCTGTTCTACCCCGGAATCTTCACGGGTCGTAAATCTTATTGTACTGTTGTGTCCTTAACCTCAATGGCAGCCCGAGATGAGAGAGTATTATGAGTTTAAATAGCTTGTGAAAAGATGAGTAAATATTATTGACACCTAGATCATCGATATGGCAATCATGTGAAGACAGCCAGTAATATATTTTTAGCTCGGTGCAGACAAACTAGTGGTCGACAGTGTGAGCATTAATCTATGTCTAGGGTACAACGACATATCAGCTGGTCATGCAGTTTCTAGATCAGTGGGGGAGTAAGTGTGGTTTTACACCGCTTTTAGCAATATTCCAGCAATATCACGACAGTACGTTTCACTCATGTGGGGAATCGAATCCGGGCTTTGGGCGTAACGACCAAACACTTTAACCACTGGGCTTTCCCACCGCCCCGTGGAACGTGGAGACTCACTTTCAGTTACTTTGTGTGTCATGTTAACCCGACTGCGTGGGACGTGTGCGTCGTTAAACAACAAACAACCAATCAATCAAAGCCCGCTAAATTCACTCACTCTTACAAGACATGAACCTTGGACATACTTACGTCATCTGGTTTCATTGACGCACGTTGACTGTTTCCATCATCGTCAATACGTCACGGGTTTGTAAGACACAATGTTCCTCCATCACCCGCGGACCCGTGAAGATTCCGGGGTAGAATAGGTCTTCAGGAACCCATGCTTGCCGTAAAAGGCGACTATGCTTGTCGTAAAATGCGACTAACGGGATCGGGTGGTCAGGCTCGCTGACTTGGTTGATGCATGTCATCGATCCCAATTGCGTGGATCGATGCTCATGATGTCAATCACGGGATTGTCTGGTCCAGACTCGCTTATTTACAGACCGCCGTCATATAGCTGGAGTGCGGCGTTAAACAACAAACCAACCAACCAGCCATCAACCGCGAATACGTACGGTTCATTTGCAGTTTGACTACTACACCAAGCAACGAATCCAATCACGGCCTGGGTCCTGGTAGAAGGAAACCTTCCAGTGCCATGACCAATGGGGCTCAGATTACATCGCGCAAACGTCAGTCTTTCTCTTAACACAGCTACAGCCTTGCGTCATCTACTCTGCACATTGCTTCTATATCAATATCAGGCAAACGTAGTGCTCCTATAAACTTCACATTATGTTATTTTGTCTTTCGGGAGTAATACATGGCTAAAACTCGTCGCTTGACTTAAAATTGACACACGTCACTACTACACAACATCAGATACCGTACAATTTTCCCCGTGAAGATCCGTGGTAGAATAGGTCTTCAGCAACCCATGCTACCCAAGCGATGTATGCTTGTCGTAAGAGGCGAATAACGGGATCGGGTGGTCAGGCTCGCCGGCTTGATTGATGCATGTCATCGATCCCAACTGTCTGGATCGATGCCCATGATGTCAATCACTGGATTGTCTCGTCCAGACTCGATTATTTACAGACCGCCGTCATATAGCTGAAATATTGCTGAGTGCAACGTTAAACCACAAACAAACAAACAATCTCCACGTACTGTCATTTCCTTTATAAAATGACCACATCTGTACGGTTATGGGGGCAAGTACAAACCCATGAAGTATTGACGTTTTGCTTCCATATACCCTTTCAGAACGACATGAGAAAAATTATGTTCTGGGATGTTTATCCGTCTCATGGAAGAGGCGCGTCGGCACAGGATTGCAATTCTGCCATTGCAGTCAGGATATATCCAACTTAATGTTGCCATCGTAATGAACACAAAACATTAGCTTAATTTTATCTCATTTATTGGATTAAATAATGATCACATGAAAGGGACTAAAGGACATATTTTTGGTGTCAAAATCACATGTCATTGCTGACTCTGAAATGTACACTCATTGCACAGAAGCCGGAAGTGACGTCATGATCTCTTCACAGCAGCTGAATGGTTCCCTTGGGTCACGTGATGAAAGTTTCGGGCATAGTAGATGAACAAGAGGGTCTAGATGCTCACGGCTGGTCGTGTTACAAATTGCATTATTAGAATATATTTCAAATGCTGTTTAGCAGCTGGAAAATTAACAATTGTCTTCCATAAACAATTTCGATTTTCTTGTGGAATATTATTAGTGTGAAATAATATATACAATTGATACTAACATAAATCTACCAGATCTAGATCCAGTATAATTTGATTTTTTGTTGAACATATGTAGATATATATTTATTTTGGAAATAAATAAAATTTCAATTTATCAAACTCCATGTCATCTAGACCCTATTCTTGCTAAGATCTCCTTGTGAGTGGTCTGCAGCTCTTAGCAAGAATTTACAAAAAGAAACAAAATGGCTGATCTAAGTCAACCTTGGTATCTTTGGCAACCGTTGCCACAACGACAGTTGTCATGACAGTGACATGGACACCAGGGTCAATAGTTTTGAGATCCAGCAAGAATTGAATTCATTTGGATGAGCTGAGAGGAAAAAATAAATTATTGGTTGTATTTTTTGACATAGGCAGGTGAGTTTTGTACATCACAATACTGCAACTCATAAGAGGGGGTCGGGCAGGGAGTTTTGTACACGGGAGGGGGGAGGGGCGAGACCGTTGATAAAATACACTGTACAAAGAAGACAATAAATACACAGGCTGTCAGTACCAACCAACTTCATAGGCGAGAAGTGGCAGTCCGGATGTACACTATTAACATTTGTCTACAAATACACAGGCTTGTATTGTGGAGATTGTACATACATTCACACTCTTTATTTCTAAAATCATTTTTAAAATAAAACATTGTGCCTTTCATGAATTCTTAAAATGTTGATAGAAGAAAAAGAAAGATGAAAAGCATAAAAAAAAAAAAAATGCATATGAGAAGTGCTTCCTGTGTCATGTCTTGGAAAAACAACACTTATTTTGAACCAAACCAGGTAAAACATCATTTATATACCAGATACCATTTACTAAAAATCCAGATAACATATTCATATCCCCTTCCGAGTTGAACAATGTTAAATCAATCCCCATGTCCTTTCATCTTAAAATATCCACAATATAAGCCTATTGTCTAGCACAAGTTGAGGAAGCCTGTAGCCACTCTATGCCCTAATACCACCAGTTGAAGTAGTTTTACTACAGACTCCCAAACCCACATAAACTAGGTGTTGTCTAACCAATCCTATCTCTTTCAATGTCAAATGCTCACTGTGAATCAAGGTGTAATTCCCTTGGCATAGGTTTACATAAAATTACAAATCCCTTAAAGACCATTAATTAAACCCTTAAAATATTAGTTCATTTACTTTTTAAAAATTCATCCTAAGCTATTCCAGATTATACCACTCAATTCAAAACAAGAATGTAGAAGAATTCACATTCAGCATTTGGCAGTGAAAGGGTTAAGATATTATTGAGAAATTGACTTAACTAGTGGGTGTAGATTTCAGTTGTATTGGATATAAATAAAATCTAACAGCTGTGGGTTTGGGAGGGGGAGAGGGAAGTTTCACATTAACAGTGTCATCTGATAATTATAAATGTTTAAACTTTAAAATATTTACACTTCCCCTACACTAATAACCATGGTAACATAAAGTTATTTTCAAGTCAACTTGAACAAGCCTATGAAATGGACAACACTCGTTTATGTACAATGTTTAAAATGAGCTTAAATAATATACAGTACTAACTTGCTTCAGGTTGGCAATGGTAACAATTGGTTATATCTTATATATATATATGTATATATATTGGAAGGCGCTCTGAGGGAGAAGGGGGAACTAAAAATATAGATTTTCTGTGAATTTTCATTGACACTGATTAGAAAGGAATAATGAATTTAATTGAAATTAAGCACCTTTAAAACAACAAGTGATCAGTAAAATAATTAAAAGCGTAAAGATACAAAACTCACAGGTTTAACAACTACAAGGACAAATGACATAATGAATACAAAAATGTCAGGATTGATGTTAAATAATTTATAAAACAATCTTTCCTCCTAACCACTGCCTACAACTGTATCCAAGGGTATAATAGTGTTTAATCCTGTGATGGCAAAATTGTCAACACACTAGAAACAAGCGGCATTGCCATGGTAACAGTCATGGTTTGTTGTCATTGTGGTTTTCTCAGATATACTACAAATTAGACAAATAATACTACTAAAATGGAGACAACTTACTCGAAACAGAAGCACTACAGTTCACCAACTGCCCTATGAATTAAACTCCGGGGAGGAGACACAGCAATGGAATTTTAACATAATATAAATATCTTCATGACTTCTTTTGGGAATTAAATTTACAAGTTGCACAGCTAAAATGAATATCTTTTTTAAAAATATGACAGGTTGCACCAAACCGATAATTGCTAAGCTCCACAAAAATCCCTCATTCAATTCTTCCTTTGGGTATTGCCTTTAAAATTCATTGCATACTGAATATAAATATTTCTCTTTGCACATATTGTAGGTTTGTAAAGAGAAGCACTGGACTGTGACCTGTCTACGATCTAGGTTTATTTAATATTGCAAGTATCCTTCCTCAAAATGTCTCAGTCTTATTTTCAGATAGTGTATGATTCTGGTTATCACGATGAGTAACGACGAAACAAAAAAATGTAAAAAATTAAAGACACTGTACTTCATGTGTGTAACGATTTAAAAAAAATGCAGGGTGAGTGTGTTGCTGCCTCTACTAACTAAATGTCCGTTTGATATGATCTTTAGGTGAAGATTTCCTGAATTGTCACCAAGACATATTCCTGTCTCGCTCGTCGCATTGTCCCGAGACCACTGCAGGTTCATATTGAATACACAGCGAGTCACTGTCTCACAAACATTCAAAATCATGTCTTAAAATAACACGGTGATGTCTGCAACAAATGCCCTCGCCAAAAGTCGGCATGGCATTCACTGGTAAAAATAAACACAAATATATATATTTTGCTGTTTATAGTCTTTTGAGGCTATCATTTTAGCAACATGCCTGCCATGTCCTTCATTGGCAAGGTCAAGGTCAAAAGGTCACATGATTGCTGACACAACTTGCAATATGACACAGATGAGACAACAGACACAGTATGGAGAATCAAGTCACTATCTTGTTCACAGCAGGTTTGTATTTTTTTTTGCACAAAATAGAAAACAAAAATCTGCTGCACTTGCTGTGGCTTTTTTTTTCCTTTCAGGACTGCCAGCATCCCTGATTCTTCCCGCCCTTTGCACTTTTATTTTTGAGCACACATCCCCCATGGTTCCTGCCCTGTAATGTTTTGTCACGGTAGCACAGTATTCCTCGGTCGGCTTTCTAGGTCAGAGATGAAGATGATGATGACAAATGATTGAGTGAGTCTGAAGTTGCTCCACCAGCAACATCGTCGCTTGGACTGTTGCTGGTCTGAACAGGAGTCCTATCTCACACACATGGGATCACAGGTTCTTCACATTTGGACATCGGTTCACGCCTCAAACAATGCCAAAATATCGTCACTATTTTGTGCCCCCGTTGTCCCACCCCCACAGTTAGTGTTTTGATTTGAGGACTCCGTACCATCGGGTGGACCGAGGTATGATAACAGTTCAATAGGATCACCGAGATTTTCTGGCAAAAGCTGCAACAGAGAAAAAGCATTGCATCAATGACATATCCAATAATTCAAAATCTCTAAGAACATCCTCAAACAAATTGGTTCAGTTCTGTATGAACACATGCCAATTGTACCGTTGTTCAATATTCAAGCAGTAAACTCTCTCAACACCCTCAATGGACTCTAAAAAGCCACAGCTGTTCGACTTTACTTATATCCAATACAACTGAAATCTACACCCACTAGTGAAGTCAATAATATCTTAACCCTCTCACTGACAAATGCTGAATGTGAATTCTTCTACATTCTTGTTTTGAATTGAGTGGTATAATCTAGAATAGCTTAGGATGAACTTTTAAAAAGTAAACGAACTAATATTTTAATGGTTAATTAAAAGGTCTTTACGAGATTTGTAATTTTATGTAAACGTATGTCAAGGGAATACACCTTTGATTCACAGTGAGCTTTTGACATTGAAAGAGATAGGATTGGTTAGACAACACCTAGTTTATGTGGGTTTGGGAGTCTTCAACTGGTGGTATTAGGGCATAGAGTGGCTACAGGCTTCCTCAACTTAAATTCACGTATTATAATCAATATTATGACTATTCAATAAAACAGCACTTGTTTTCCTACTTGTCTTACAAAGTATAAGTCTAAGCCATATCAGTCATGTCTCTTTTAAAGTAATTTACCTTTCAATTGAATACCTGCAATAACACATTGAAAAAAAGAATAGTAAACACATTCTGCAACTTACATCTAAACCTGGTTGTCCACCCTCTGTTTCCCCAAAACTAGCTGCAGGATCGAAGGTGAGATCGGATAAGCTGTGGTCCCCTGGCCCCACTGGATTGTGCTGGTTGGAGTTAGGCGTGTGACTGAGGGGATGGCTACCGTTCCCATTCTGGTGATTCATGACCCCTTGGTTTGGTCCAGGCACCATATGGTTGCCGTTCGGAACTTGAGGGTCAGGATGCCGCAAGGGCTGACTTAACTGATCGCCTGGCAAAACAAGCAAGAATTATGAGACAAAACTGTAACACAATGCATCGAAACACAAACACATCTCATCAAGCATTGCCTCATGGAACTATCAAGGAGTTTCAACAAACAAAAAGATACAGCAATATGCAACTCTTACAATAACAAAAATGGTTTCACTTACATTTTACATTATTTCACAAATATTTTACAAATCAAACAATCATGGACTCACAAAACTATGAAGGTTTCCTAAGGAAACAATAAAGGGTTGTAGAATTTTCCTGGAATCTCATTATTCTGTATATCCTATATACTATTAATGATATGTAACAGTTGACATGATGGTACGCACCTTGTGATCCTGGAGGCATGACAAAGGGTGATGGCGGAGGGCAGTGATCCCAGTTGTTCATGGTAGGCAGCTGCATACTGGCCGGTGACATGGCCTTCACCCAGCGTGAGTTCGCACACGGTTCCGGTTGGCCTGAACAAATACAAATGTTACATACATTCAATGACAATGTACTGAAAAACAGGCCTCCAACATGAGTAGGATGTATTTTTTAAAGTAAAAATATCACTTATACTTATCCTGACTCATACGCATGAGTCAGGATAAGATAAAATAATACATAATTGTAATCAGGACCAAAGATGTTACACACCACTCTTAGCATCATTCCAGCCACATCATAGCAAGTGAAACGTGGATTAGATGCCACTACAGTACTACCCCACTGTGAGGTCTCTGGCATGACGACACAAAACAAACCACAACACTCCCCAGATTCTCTTGTCATTGTGAGTGTTTGTTGTTCAACACTGCACTAAGCAATATCCCAGCCATATAACCATGGACTGTAAATAATCAACTCTGGACCAGTTAATCTCTCTTGTCCATAGACTGATATTGAAAGTATAACCTACTCTTTGTTTGTACATCTTCAATGTTGTCCAACCCCATCATCATTCAACACCATGAATATCAATTTTAAGACTTGCATGGCCTTTTACCATTTAACCTACACTTTATACATCTAATCTAGTTCAACCCTATGAATATCAATATTAGGTGATTCCTACCTGTGTCCTCCTCTTTGATGGTTTTGATGGGCACAGGTTTCCAACTGGCTGTCTGGTCGATGGTCACCTCCTCAAACTCCGTGTTGCTGAGGTTGGTGAGGATGCCCCATATGTACTGGTCAATCTCCAACCCCTCAAGCAATGCTGTTTTGCTGCAAACAAGGAGACAATGTTAGCAACAGGAGTCATAAAGCTGGCAATTGAGTCAATAGTAAGCCAGTACAAGTTCTCTTGGCCAAGTTTGTTTGATTGTTTAATGCCGCACTTAGAAATATTCCAGCTACATGGCAGTGGTCTGTAAACAATCGAGTCTGGACCAGACAATCCAGTGATTGACATTATGGGCATTGATCCACAAAACTGGGATCAATGACAAGCCTCATCCAAGTCAGCGAGCCTGACCACCAAATCCCGTTAGTCGCCTCTTACGACAAGCATAGTTGCCTTTTACGGCTAGCATGGGTTACTGAAGACCTATTCCCTCCCGGATCTTCAAGGGTCTTTTGGCCAAGTAAGCTCAACTTTTAATAGTCCAGATGCTGAAGCTAGAATCTAGTGAAAATTATGCTGACAGACAATTTCTGACTGTAGTCACAAAATTCTTTGGCAAAGATTGAGAGGGTATGAACAGTAGTTTCTAAACAGTTACTTTTTTTCAGGGTGAGTACGAACTTCAGAGCCCGCATCGACACCAGTCATTGCTAAAACAATTCTGGCTCACAATAAATTCAGTGGAGCTAAATATCTGTATAAACTATTCACCAATGAGTACATGGTTTTGCAAAGAGTCACTTACTTGCAGACTGGACATCGCCACGTGCCACGTTCACAGTTGAGCTGCAAGTAGGACTCGAGGTCGAAGCACTGTATGTGTTTACAGTCGTGTCCCCGTGCAGGTAATGTGATGCGGCGATATGTAATGGGACATTTGAGGGACACTTTGATTGCTGTTTGTTCCACCCCGTCATCATTCATACCATTGCTGTTGGTGGGCACATGAGAGAAGTTCCTTTTGACTGGAACAAATAAACAATCATACATAAGCATAATAATTAAACTAAGAAGTTCTTTCATAACATAATTTTAAACAACAAAACAGCCAGGTAAGCTGAAAATCTAAATTCTTTCGAAAAACGTATATATAAAATTTAATGCGATGCAGCCAAAATATTCTTGCCTTTGAGACAATAATATAATGTAGCAAATCTCACATATGCATCAACCAGTCATTGGCAATATTTTTATCTCATTTAGTTGGCAAACGATTGTGCTACTTGCTTAAGCATAAAAAATTCAAGATGGCTGCCATTGTTCCAAGAACCTACTTTTAGTGATGCAGTGTTCAGCTGGCAGTAAGCGCTTTCTCAATAGACCCTGCAACACAGATCTGATGCTTGGCCGATGAACCAGTTGTAAAACAAACAGATGAGACTGAAACAAACAAGAGTACAATTAGTCCTGGAATCATTCCACATGACAGACAATGTTCATGCTACCCTACTTATCAGTATTGCATAGGCTTCATGAACCTAGTGTGAAGCAGCAATGGATGTTAATACTCATCTACAAAATTAATGCACATGATGCAATATAACAAGTATACACCCACTTCGTGACAATATGTGAACAACTGTATACACAGGAAATTAATGCTTTAGTCAGCAATATGTAAATGATGGTGTTGAGAGTAGGGCTGTGATGAGTCCAAATGTACTACCCCCGGGTACCCCCCACATTACCTGATCCACAATAGGTCTCAAGAGATGAGTACAAAATGTCCAATTGGCAAAGGCTCGACTGAAGTTTTATCTTTATTCAAACATATAAAGTCAGAAGGAATGTGTGTATAGTCAGAACGAAATGCGAACATTTGTCACATAGTGTTACCATTGATTTCTAGATAATTTTTGCCATTAAACACTATATCACATGACTAACCACAGGTCCGGGTAGTCCTGAGAGTATCCAGGTCCTACTCAGAACCCACCTGACCCTAGAACCAGAGTTACCCGTTCCAGCCCTAGTTGAGAGTGAGTATTAGTCAATACACATCATTTATTCAGTTTCAGAACATTTTGTCCAAACAATCAACATTTACAGGAAGCAAAGGTAATTGGGGGCCTGTTCCTATGAAGCACGAATTAGCAGTCAATGTGCTGGTACTCACACAACAACATGCGGTGACGGTGATTTGGATGGTGTTACGACCAGGTTGACACACTTCCTTCAGGTATAATGGCTTATGAGATGACTTGTTTTCCCCTCGTTCTATTGTGAGTGGTGTGGCATTGACGCTGACCGTGACGGAGGCCGGCCAGTTTGTGTTCATCTGCCTGTCTTCGTGGTGGAAACACTTCAACTGCAGCTCCAAGTCAGACCTGAGTAGAAACCAACACACATATTTTAACGATATTTCGAGAGTTAGGTGAAATGGGGTCTAACATCACGTCCAAGATTATTGCAATTATATAGTGATGTGCATGCATGTATGTGTGGCTGCTTGTACTAGTGAGGTGAGGTGAAATTGGGTTTAACGTCGCGTCCAAGATTATTGCACTTATATAGCGACATGCATGCACGTGTATGTGTGTGTTTGGCTGCTTGTACTAGTCCGGACTGATGCTGTCTTATAGTGCTAGCACACTGAAATACCATGCCACAGTAACATGAATACCTCACTCAGACACAGTATACAGACTCCGAGCCGACCAGTCCTTGTTTTAGCCCCTTAATGTCGTGCGCCAGACAGGGTAACAACAAGTACCAAGTTATAGATTAAAGATCCACACGATAGTGCAAATGGATCTAACTCTTACACTTCCTGTACTTTCCAATTACCCTAACAGAAAACTGTCCATCCCAGACAGGTTCTGAGACAGGAAGTTCTATAAATACCCCCAAAATAAGAATAAGAAAATACCACCAAACTGATGAAGTCAACATAAATGGGAAGTGCATTAATATAAACTATAATCTTGAAAGTAATTTCCCATTTAAAACGAGAGAATCCACATCAATTATACTGACAAGTAAAGCAGAAATAAATGACCCTATAAAAATATATGTGAACTTTTTGTAAAAGGCTAGTCTCTCATATAGATCCTGAAAAAAATATATATATCTTAACACTCCCAAGCAAGTCTACTATAATTTAGCACGTCTAGATTACCTCAGTTTCTGAAAATGATGAGATTCTCTGGGTTCATTCATATTATATAAGACAATTTCACAAAAAAAACATTTTTAGAGATTTAATGATAACTTAATGTCATAATTTGACCAGTGGTACGTACCTCCACATGAGAGTCTGGTAGACGGACTCCCGTAAGTGGAAGACGTGGTTACTGACAGCTAAGTTGTGTTCCAGACGGAACGGCGGCAACACCACCCCATCTCGAACAGGAAACGTTAACCGCAATTCATCATTCTCTGCAAAATAACAAATCAGTGGTAAGTATTTCCCTGATAGAGTAGAGCACACAATTATTCCATCTAAATTTGTTACAAGTTACCGTAGTCTGAAAAAATCTCTACAAGTGTGCACAATGTGTCTCTTTCAGCCTCGATATCACATTTTTAGGGTAATAACATTCATATTTCAAAAGTGTTTTTCTGAAAATTATTTTTGTATTCCTGCATTAATAATTAATTCCATGTTTTTAAATTAAAAAAAAGAGTTAACATCATTCTTGGACAATGTAACAGTGATATAACACAATACACACATTCATTCCCAAACAAACAGCTCTAACATGTTATACGCCATTTCTACATAATTTATGACAAACGTGATGGCACCAAGGTCATGTCAGATGAAATTGTGACAGTAAAATAAAGAGGGTATCCTGAAATTTCCCCCCATACGATGCAATCATGTAGTCAGAGACAGACAACATGCAGACGAAAAACCAAGATAAACTTCAACATGAGCACACAGTTGATCTGGGCAAATTTCCTCACAGGAAACAAGCTGACCCATCACCTTTTGCCTATATGTTGATGTGTGTTATCGCATGGGCGTGTTGCACACACTCCCGCAACTTGATACACTGCCAATGCAAGTAGATGGCAAGTAGATGGCTGATGCTACTGGGGAATTCATATTTCAAGTTTGATAGCACTAAAATGAGGGATCAATCATCACTTCATAAATTATTATGCTAGGGTAAAGCCTTTTTCAATAAAATATTTCCTCAATTACATATGCAACCTATGATGACAATTTGATGTTTTCCCTACGTGGGAGAGAGAATTGGCCTTGTTATCATAAATATTTCCTGAAATGGCGGATGATAACATTCTCTTTCTGATACTATAGTTATTTGAGACATAAATTACCCTGGTAAGAAGAATAACATAAAAAGACTTTGGCGCATATTAGAATGTTTTTTAAGGCATCAAATTATCAGAATTGCTGTGCATCATTACTAGTGAGAGTTCAAGGCCTATTTAGACCATATTTCAGTCATATCATGACAAGCATCATTGACAAGTAAAGGAACACCTACCTTTCTTTATGGGGAGCTGTGGTTTAAATTCTGGGAAGTTGGGTTTGACATCGGGATTAGAGTAAGGGGGTACAGCGCCAGGCGTCATTGGCGGCGTCGGGTTGCCAGGTATCGGTGAGTGCTGGTAGCTCGGCTGCTGAAGAAACACCAATGTGCCAACATGAACATTTTGATGTACAGATATTAAAGAATCAATCTGAGAAATATGATAAATACTCATGTCAGTTCAACACAACTACTCTAATGTATCTTGGCATTGAGCCACTACTTTCTTAACAACTGCTTAAATGACAGCAGTTGGATAGCGTGCATGTTAAACACTGGGATATAAGTAAATGATTGTACAGGATGAACCAAAGAAATTCAAGGATGTATAGGTCAAAGGGAATATTTCATAGAAATATAATTTGGTAGCAGCATATATATACATTTACAAATCCATAGGAATAAGGAAAAGTTTATACAGAGTTAACCAGTTGACATTTACAGATATAACCAGGGATTTATTGGGGATTTAATTAGGATTCCAAACTAAGTGCCCTTGGCAGACAAATTGGGAGAAGAATCACGATATTGTTCAAACTTTGAATTTCTTTAATGTTTTGTTTCTGTAAATTTTAAATTCAAATTGGGAATTGTTACTGTCATTTGCTGCACACTCAAATATCTGTGTCTGAGCAGGTCCAGATGAATCCCTGTATACAGGGAGAAGCAAGATTTGTTTGTTTGTTGTTGTTTAACGCCGCACTCAGCAATATTCCAGCTATATGACCTCGGTCTGTAAATAATCAAGTCTGAACCAGACAATCCAGTGATTGACATCGTGAGCATTGATTGACGCAATTTGGATACGATGACATGCATCAACCAAAATCGTGTCAGTCACCTCTTACGACAAGCATAGTCGCCTTTTACAGCAAGCATGGGTTGCTGAAGACCTATTCCAGGTCGGTTTAAGTAAGAAGTAGGTACAGGGTTAACCAAAAGACATTTACAGACATAGAGGTATAAGTAAAGGTTTCGTACAGGGCTGCTCACCTGCCCGGGGAACTGGCCTGGGAACCCAGGGCCTTGCCCAGGTGGTGGTCTGTTCGGCGGGTATTGGGTCTGTCCAACGTAGGGATTCTGACCATTTGGGTACGGGCTGGGGCCGTTTGGCCTCATGCCTTGGTGCGGAGGGTATGTTGGGGATGGGAGGGGCTGCTGGGTAGGGGGGTACTGCGGTTTTGTGGGGTACTGTTGGTGGTTATTGTAAGATGGCCCGAACTGTAACAGAAGAAACACAAGGTTGTTAATTCACATGGTTCAATCTCGAAAGAAAAATAGACAGAAAGAACCCTTGGAGCATAATCCATTCAATATTCCGTAATTCAAAAACAGTGTTACTGCATTCGTCTTCTTTGTGATGTAAGGGATAAAAAATAACACGGCAGAAAATGTAAACATTTAAGACTTAAGTGTGTGAGTGAATGTTGTTTAATGCCACAGTGAACTGAACATCATGAATGCCAACAAAAAATGGCCATCTTGTTTTCATTCCAGAATCCTTATTCAAAGTATATGTTCAATGCAAAGGCCAAACTATACTTACGTCCACTTGGGCTCCGTTGGGGTAGTGCATGGGTGCGCGCTTCTGAGCCATGTATTGCGAGGGGTTGGGGTAGGGTCCTGCCCGGCGGGGGTACATACTCATGTTGGGCATGGTGGGCTTGGTGGGCATGGGCCCCGGGCCCGGCCCCCCGCCCTGACCCATGCCTGGCATTGGACCAGGAGGCCGCTGCTGACCCATCCCGGGGTACCCCTGGTTATTGAATGGCTGACCATGCTGCATCTAAACCAAAAACATTACAGTCAATAACTATAATCAATATTAACTATTATGATCAATAGTGACTTTCGTTGAAGTGACTATATTCCAAGATAAAGATAAACATTGCTTTTTAACAAATCTGAGTAAGCTGCAGCAGAATGTTTATAAATGTGAGTTTACCACAAAACAAAGTCAGCCGTCACATTCTAATGGAAGACATTTTATAAACACATGGAAATGTGAAAATATTTCATTTGAATAGGATATTTCATTTTTTTATGACAGCTTTTAACAATTTTTCAAATATGCAAAAATTTGCAAAGATAGAGATCAAAAGCAATGAAACAGCCCATCTAATGTTCCTTTCAGCTGTCTTCCTTCTTGGTAAACGATGACTTTCAGTATTGTTCATTGAAAGATATTGATCTCTATATAAGGTGTTTCAAGGATATTTTTACATGACCAAAACTGCCATGACCTTTCTACAGTAAATGGACAGTGATAACATATAACAATTGTGTTATGACATCACATCCCATAACTTTCAGCTGTCCTAATTCATCATTATCTGTAAGGATTTAATTAGTATCTGTCAGCCCTGACTACATGGTTAATTACTTGAGACTTGTGTTTGATCAAGTAGTACCAGCATACCCATTTGAGTGAGTGAGTGAGTTGGATTTAATGCTGCTTTTAACAGTATTCCAGTTATATCACGGCGCGTCAGCTTAATGTGGGAAGAAAGCCCGAAGTGATGCAGGTCTCAGACGTTTACCACATCGGTTAAACCCACGAGCACAGCTATTTTGCTGATAAACCTAGAAACATAATTGGGGTGAACCGGGATTTTAACCCATGATCATATATGAGATGGAGTTCATTAGACCTGAAGACCTCAAACTCAACACGAGATCTGGTGATTTGTTTCACAAGTATTGTGAGACATTTTCAGATCACTCATATGCCTTTCGAAAGATTGTATGGTAAAGTCAACCTCGATGACAACATCAAAGAAAACACAAACAAAGCAATAATTGAAGCATGATCAGAAGTAAATCATATAAATCATATAAATCTTTCCATAAAATTTTGCTTCATATGAGATTTGACATAATTTCTTTTCAATTGCTAAAAGATTTACATCTTTCAAACCTGATCAAAGCCAAGAGTTCTCCTCTGACATATGATCAAAGGTGATCTTACTAGTTTTTTTGCTTGTTTAAAAAGTTAAAAAAATGTCTGAAGTTGATTTTAAAAAATCCTCTGATTTGCTTTCTTGTTTAATCTTGAAAACGAAACACGTCAAGCAATGTAGCAATACTTGAACAAAATTTCTCCAAATAATAGCCGCATTTCAGAAGGTCAATGGTTAAGACAACCATATATCACAACATGACAGAAAATATTTTCAGTTCCTGACATTTTATTCTGACAGAAATGAGACTTACGAAACAGATTCTCAATCAATCCATTTATGTACAACAACAGCAGCCAATCACTACAGCTAGAGTAGCCACAAATATAAGACCCATTTTCTAGATATCATTATTAATACCGTTGGTACATTTCAAAGACACCTTCAAAGACAAACAATTGCCAATCATATAAAAACAAATTTGAAATTAATTTTTAATACCTAAACATAGATCTCCATGTCACATGTTTACGAGCCTCACCTGTTTTGACTAAAGCACATTTTAATCAAACTTGACCTGATGATAATTTTGTATCGGAACAATTGTATGTACCGATTATGTATCGGATGATGTTTGAAAACCTCCTGTCTGTAATGTCATGTGACTGAACATGTTGTGCATCTATTTTTAACTTGACTAATGGAGAGGCTCGAAATCATGAGACGGTAACAAGATGGCACCTGATCGACTCGTCTCACTCGGGAGGCATTACCGCAATAAAATTAACAAGACATGGCCATATGACTATCCAAGTATTAACAGGAATAAATGTCTTAATAAGACTTAATTTTAGTGTTTTGGGATTGTTATTAGACATGTAATGAGGAATACATTTTAGGGGTTCGAAAACCATAACACAAGAATAGTGGATTCCAAATCTGATTACCATAATCAGCATATTTGTGTAAATAGCAAATTCTACTTCCTATAAATTATTATATTTGTATGCACTATATACTGTAATGTTACATGGGGCATAACAAAGTAATTTGAAAGTCTCCATATGTCTACTTTAGCACTGTGTATGTTAACATACAGGCTGAAGGCAGTTCTTCAAACAATCATGAAAGTCATTTAACGAAGAATATCGATCAAGTCCACATTAAAAACATTATGGCTTTTAGAAAACATGTGAGGTAATGTTAGCAAACATTACAGTACTAAGCAAAACAGATATACCCCAAAATATGCAAATATGTGGGTATATACCTAGTTGATCCGCAAGTTACTTAGCCCCATCAGTATAATATTCATGTTTACACAAAAGTAATAGTAACTTTGATCACAAATTTGTTGCTGATAATTTATAAAGGTGACAATATGGCTTTAACTATCGCCCCATCTTCCTTGTTCACAACAAAGCCCCTGTCAAGAACATCGAGGAAAGCTTGATGCAGATCGGGTCAAAACAAAATAATAAAAAATCTATCACTTTCAAATTCTGTACACCTTTAAGGGGGTGAAAATAACCATTGTTCAAAACATACATGACTAGGCCAAATTGGAATTTCATCAATTGTTTACTTTTTGAAATAATACATCAACATTCTTAAAAAGCCCATTGGTTCCATTAACAGCTAACAAAAGCTTACAAAAGTATCATAATCTTCAAAGACAAAGAGTACTTTTAGAACTGATAGATATGAACATGATCAGTTACTTTTGCTCTTGAGTATACATAATCAGTGTGATAAAAAAGGAAACTTACTGGCATCTGAGGTCCATATTGGGGATTGTTCATGCTCATCTGCATATTCATGTTCATTTGTTGCTGCTGGTTCTGTTGCTCTTGTAGCACCATACTGGCAGTCGCTGTTGCTGTTGCAGTAGCTGTGGCAGCTGCTGCAACAAACGCTGCTGCAGACAGCGCTGCTGGGGGTGCTGTGTACTCTGACGCACCCGACACAGGAGGACCAGGATTTGCTCCCGGTGTATTGGGGGTTGGCGGGTACCCACTGTAGCAAAAATAAGTTCCATATAAAATCTCCACAGTGTATGATATTAATGGGACAATCTCAGTAAGCTTCAATAAAACTAAAATACATGTATGTGACTCATAGGTCATTCCCCTTTTTTTCATATTTGTTACATCTCATCACAACATCAAAATATTTTCAAAGCACAAATGTGAATATGAATATGACTACTACATATTGATCGTAGACTTTTTAAGTAAAATACACAAATATGTACAATTCAGCCATATATTTTCGAATAAATCAAACATATTAAAATTTACCTTGGTCGTGGCTCTCGCCGATACTGCGGCATCACTTGGTTATACTGTGGAGCCTTCTGCATCCCATTCCCAGGGAACCCTTGCTGGGGCTGGCTGTACCCCGTGGCTGTCATGGTGGTGTTGGTGAACCCTGGGGTGGGGGTGCTGTGGGTGAAGGGACCACTCTGGGTGGTTTGCGTCACCCCCCACACCGTTGTCACCACCGACAAGCCCGGCTGGTTCGGTGCACCCCAACCTCCATTAGGATCTCCACTGAAACAGACAAGTCAAACATTCAGTTGTTGTTACCTCCACGAGGGTTCACACAAATCCACAATATCCAATAAGTTCACAAATCGTACAAATCCTCACAGAGTGTATCCATAACGTGATTACCATTGAAGAAGTGATCGCAACATGATTATTTAGGTACTAGAAGTCACTCCAAGTTTCTTTTCCTATCCCAGTCACATTTCTCTTCATATTCCTCTCTCGACAACTTTCAAAGTGCCGTTTTTAGTGCATGTCTGAAATTGCCTCCCCTGAGCTGCAAAAGAGGCAGTAAACAAACACGATGTCTTGCGGTACAGGAATTTTGGGTTTATTCCTCTGCAAGCAAGGACGTTTGCTTAAACTCGGACATTTCGCAGGGTCACATTTTAAACTCCAGTGTGGAAAAGGACTTGTTTATTCGTTACAGCTCACAGGCACTCAGCACTCCGATGGATACATTTTGAACCGCACATCACAAAAACGCTCTTCTTAGCATTTAAAAAGAGAAGAGTTCCAATGAAATCAATGTTCAAATTACATTAAATACACTACATGTTTTATGCCACATTTACACCAGAAAATAGATATATTTACATATTTATTGCCTGACATAAACATATATTTAACAAAATACTTTGAGATTTTGTTGCAAATAATTATTTGAATTAAGACAGTTCTTTCCTCAAGCAGATCCATTTCTACCTTCAATAATTAGAATATTCATAACTTCAAATATTAGAAAAATGTTTTGCCGATAAATTAAAGACAAAAATGTGCCCCATCGCTTGACCAAGTGCCGACAAGTTCATATCACGAATGTTATTCATTTAAGCAAGAATTGTGTATTGTTTAGTGAAGTCTTACGCTTCTGAGTGACGGTTGACTGCAATGTTGGTACATTTCATGTCACATACAATTAAACAACAATACTCCTCTCCGTGACGTGAACAAACAATTTGGACAAACCTGTCATATCAAAGCTTACACAATCACGTGTTCAAAACATGTATCAAATGTAATATTCATACCTTAGAACAAAACAATCTACATTGTAAGTACTTGGGGAAAAACTAAAATTAAAACTATCAAACAGTTTCCAAATGTAACCACGACTGACATATCAGTTCAACATCTCAAATATCGACCAGAGACAATGTCTATATTTAAATTCCCAGTCTTAATCCTTTACAAGGATTTAATCTATCACCGGCTAATTATCTCGTTAAATATGTAGCAGTGAGCATGAAACAGCACATCTAAACCCTATCTCATGAATTATTTTTAGCTCAGACTGCAAAAATCCTAAACATGTTGTGATCAAGTCATTGGATTTGACCTATATCTACATAGCTGGTGTCGCTCCCTGAAACAATCATCCTTGAAAACAAGGCCTATCACCCAAATTGTTTCTTCTATCATAATGAATTAAACATATTCTGCCCGTATTTGTCATTAACCGTATTAAAGTCGGACAAAAGTAGGCAGAGCTGGGAGCAACATCTTGTCAACTTGCTATTATTTCCAAGTGCACCTGAACCTCGCTATAGCGCAAATACAGAAAGAGATAACATCGCCAAGGTGATGCTAACTCATGAGCGATTTATCCCTCTTGCCCACAGCTGTGTGTACATACAGCTGAAGAGGCTAACATGCTATTCTTATTGAGTTAACACGTTGCACGCTATAACGAGGGAATCAACAAAGTGGGGACTATTGACTGGCAACAGACAAAGGCAAACAAGCAAATGGTAACCTCAGTATTGCTAGTTCAAGGGCTCCAGCGAGGGTTGTGTTCTCCGCTGCTGTTTCCATATAAATCCAATTTGTAAGAGAACGAGGGACAGATGGAGTGCGTCTTTTTCTCTGGTTAAGTCAGTGTCAATCACAGAGCACAAGTCATTACAGCATTCTCAGTCCCATTCATCATTGGCAACTTGCAGTGAAGAGAGGAGCCACAGTCCGTCTGCTGCTGATCGCTTAGTCAGTACACAGTCAGGAGTTACTCCTCGTCTGTTTCATATTCCCGCATATAAGCAGGTATCAGTGAGAAGTCTGGCTGCCTAGCTTGTTATCAACGTGACGAGGCGGCCTACAAGCTTCCCACTTTTCGTAGGTGAAAGCTGGGCCTACCGCTTCTCTGATGGCCAATCACACTGACCCGATCCGACGACTTTCCCAATGACCTGACGTCACGACAAAAACACGGAAACACCACGACCAAATTGCAGTATCTAGATATGATCAACACCACACAGGCTGAATGTCATCAAATACACACATATCTACATCCAGTCCAGCCTTATGCAACAAACACAATTCCATTGACAAGATCCTCTCAACTCAACTTGTATCTTACAACAAACACAACCACTGCCTACAATGATTGTTTATTAATGAAAAAATCCACCTCCTGATTACTGCAGACTTGCAGTCGGCAATGATCTATTAAAACCCACGATCAATGTCGTTCCCGCATGGCGGTCACATGACCACTCCATTAGCAACCAGATGGCTTTTGTTTCAATTATAGGCGATATCAAAATAATCCATCGCATAATCTACTCCGCCATTATCTTTCACAAATAATTAGCTATTTACGTGAAACATCTCTCATCAATTATCCCCTCATATTAATTAATTACATTTCATCGCATAAACAGTGAAGCCCAGCCCTTGTGTCGTAATTACAAAGTGAGAGTAATTTCATGATGAAAATCATCTAAACTGCACTTCTATTCATTAAACATGGCAACAAAGCATATCTAATTCATGAACTTATGTCTCCTCATGATTAGCATGGTGTCACCCGATTGGTTTCTATAAATAGTTTTCTTATTCTTGCCTGGGTATTTCCCTGAGCTCACACTGTAAAAAATCAGGAATAACCATGACAACAGAAAGTGTTGGAAAACTACTGAATGAATTCACGCTGTTATCTTCTATGGTCATTGCTCCTGTCAAGGCAGAACATAAACACTATAGTACCATAAGGTCCACACGGCAGAGAAAATAATAGCTGGCTCAGGTGTCTGAATATTCATGAAGGTTTTACCAATGCAATTCTGAAAATTATATTTGGTTCAAATGTTTGCTGACTAATATATCCATGTACACCATATACACTTATATTTCTGCTGAATTGTGTTTTTTACTTTATGTGCATAACATTATTTGAATAATGTAACAGCAAACAGATATCTTTATGTCATATGAGCACTTTAGTTACATTTAATTCCTAAACAAGGTTTCATTCCATAAAAGCGATCTTAGTACTACGGCTATGATACATGTGTCTATGTTAAGTGAATGTGAGTCATTATCGTCTTAGCGCTAAGATCGTATCAAATTGAAATGACCGTTACAATATTACTCCACATTACAGGACCATATCTCAAAATACAAAAATGAGCTACAAATAATTTTTAAAAAATAATCAACATTTTCCCCCCCATTCCAGTTCCAGAATCAAGCTGATTTAAGTCACTACTTATTACGTAGATAAAAAAGTGTGATTTTTTCAAGTGTGCCCTTTGATATTTCAGTGTACCTACAAGATGAATATGTGTTATCAATCTTCAAACTCGGTAAATGTCATTTCAGTTGTAATAGAGACAATTTGCACCATTCCTTTTACCGGTAAGTGAGATTGATAATACCCTTTTTCATTTCTGAATACCCAAATTTATTATATGAATCATACTGTGCTTTAAGCAAGTTTATTATTCTCCACATGTCATGTTAATCTGTGCTGAAGTACACTTATCACCGGCTCAATATATTAAATATTGCCAATGGGACTCAACTCGGGTGTAATACCGAGATATTCACATATCACTCTTTAACTCCTTGACTCCTGGGTACTTGGGAACATCAAGCTAATTTTGATTATTTAAATATTCCTTCTTTGTAACTGAATCTATACATACCACAACCTGCTGATGTCATGACTGACTGCTCTTATGCAGGCCAGGTGATATACACAAATGGGTCTGTTTGAACACAGTGAATGTGGTGAACATGAGGCTTATGTATTCCAACATAGAGGCTGAACCTCTGATGTAGCCAATGGGGGGTACAGTTTGATCAGGAAGTCACGACAGGAGACAGTTGATATGTGTGTCCATGTCATGAACCTCGATACTACAAAACAAATGTCAAATGCTACCTGTCACCTTTTGTTTGTGTTGATTCTGACGACGTGTCAACCCCATATCTACATGAAAAACAGTGAATCATAGGGAACTGAATCAAATATTCTTCGCCACATCAGCAAGAGAATGCATTATGAATATATGATTAAATGAATATATTTTCTGACAGAAACATTAATCTTTATATTTAGGCGACTACATGAATAAGTAAACCATGTCCGTTACATTAATAATAATACAGCGAAGTGCATGAGAATGTCCGTATCAATAATTTTCCTGTGCAACACCTGTGTGTGCAGGCTAACGTGACCATTGTCAAGCATACCAGCCGTGATCCTGCAACAGCTGTCATGGTAATTGGGTCATAATCTCTCACTGTGTTCTTTTATTCATGTCAAAATCGGACCAACAACACTCTACTAAACAACCAACCAAACACATAATCGATTCAATAACCAGCTTCTGCTTCCAGAGAAAGCACTATCGTTATTCAGAGATGTCGAGGAACATTTCTTACACAATATATTACTTAGGCCATAGCAACATAGAAATCATATGAGCAAGGGTTAAGATCTTAGTGCCCTCTTTGAATCAATAAAACAGCCAAAGCACGAATCATCATCGGAACATCACGTGATGTGTTGCTGATAGCCCACAATTGCCTCTTTAACCTAGCCAAGCTGCTCCACGGCACAGCAACAACCGACACACTAAATGTAACATTTTTAAATATTTGACAGGAAGGCTTTGGTGGTTTACACTTGAACCCAGCTTCCAGAAATAACATATGCCCTCTACCGGGTTAGGACAAATTCATTACATGTTGCTACACGTTGAGAAATAAGGCTT